ATATATATATATATGTAGACAACCCTAACTGTTTATCCTTGGGCCGTATTTTGATCTCAATGAATTACTCGAAAGTAAAATTTTGAGAGGTGGTGAGTTTCTGGGTTACGGCTTGCTCTAGAAATATTTTCTTCAGAGGCATGTGGGCCGTTATATCCGGGGTATAATCAATTCTCTACCCCGGAAAGGGCTTCCCCAAAAAAATTTGGAAGATTTTCGCCAAGGTACAAAACCACTTACCCCAACAAATATAATAGGTTATATCTTCTAAATCCTCCCATGACATATTATTTCAATAACTTAGTCACTTATATTTCTACTTTTGATTTGTGCTAGGAAAGTTAGAATCTTAATTGTTAGCCTACTATTAAATATTTGTTTCAAATTCATCCTCAAGGTTTTATTTTTAAAACCTCAACAGTCATACATTGAATTTGAATCTAGTTCCTTAATTTAGTACTCTTTATTTAATGGAAAACTATTCATATATAATTTATCTTACATTAAAGAAATTGTAATTGAATTTTTGCACACTAGTTCATGGATTAAGCCGTTTGTATTGTCCGTACACAAACCAAACACGCCGTTGATGAGTTGCTAATTTGGTAAGTAGCCACAACGGCCGCGGGGGGTGGGGTGGGGTGGGGGTGGGGGTGGGGGAGTAGCCCCAGCAGCAGAGGAAGATACTTTGGCCTATGCTTTCATTAATGTACAACACACAATGTCTTTTGTCAGTGAATTTTTCTTGCCTAAAGGGAACACTGAGGAGCATGGTTTACATCAGGCTGTTTTAATCTTGTCTTCCGTAATAATTAACATTCATGGAATACCCTGCCAAGAGCGTCTTCAACCCAGAGGCCAAATTTTATAGCAAATATAGCTTTATAAAGTGAAGTTGCGCTACGCTCAGCATTTTTTGCATCTACATTCTACGTATATAGCACTTGGTTACATTAGAGCTATTTGTAGTGGAGAATCAAAGACCCAGTTTTGTTGAAATGTCACACTCCATTGATCTAAGCAAAGTTCTTATGTGTTGAACGAATCGAATCATTATTAAAAAAAATATATATATATATATATAGTTTTACACCTCAATGCTGTCATGATCACAGTCCAGTCTTTATTTGCTTAATTTTTTTTTTTAACAAATTTCACATATTTAAGATTGAAGAGATTAATTTTAAGATAAACAAAATTTATCAAAAAATATGTTAACCATAAAATTTTAAAAAAAAATTCATGCGTTTAATTAGTCTAATTATTTGAGAAGAGGACATATATGTAACACAAATAAAATTCAGTTTTAGAATGAAAACAAATGGAAAATATTACCTCCTCTTATGTAACTAAACTATAAAATAGATAATGTTGTGGTATGTATAGCATTAAAAATGTTACATTGTAATAACTTCAAAATCAAATTAAGATGGAAGAGTACAGTGTGCTTTTCTTTCATCCCGTTTGTAGATCTCTTTTTTACCTCTTCTTATAATTTGGCAATAAAAGGAGAACAACCAGAACATGGATAATTTTGCATACTTCCTTTAACTAGGATCTTCTCCATCAAGGTCCTCATGAACGTAAGTGCAGAGCCTTCACGTCTTTGCCATGGATGCACCATGGGCCACATCTCATGGGGAATCAGATGATGAGGCTGTACCCTTTATTTTCTATTCAAGTTAAGAGCTAGGCCCTAGTAAGTGTGGGCCCAAGATAGGTCATGACCCAGTAAATGGGTACAAAATTTGTTGACA